ACGTATCTGGTGGGAATGGGCCCTAAAGATCCCCAAATTTGAGTCCAGCACACAGCTGAAGCCTAATCTGCAATGTAAAGTTTCTTTGGATGAAGTAGGGAATCTTTAGATTCTCTGTCATTTTTTTATTCCTGGTCATGGACTGCAGTAGATAATAGGAAAAGCTTCTAAAGCTGGCGATTCTCTTGCTAGCTGTAAATGCTGCAAAAATGTCAGTGCTCAGATACTGAGCTACATATCACGTAGAATTTCAGCAACACAGGCCTTTCATCAACTGCGATTCATTTTTTGGCCTAACAACACAGATGGAAAGGAGAGCGATTCTGTTGCAGCTATAAAATTGTCTGTGTGATAACAGCCTTATAGTATGCTGCCATGTATAGGAACTAGGAAAGTCTAAGGCCTGGTTCACACCTAGGCGACAGAGTTTTAACGCGCGTTTTTTGCACATAGGGCAAAAAGCGTGTTTTTGTGAGCAGATTGTAGCTCATTGATGTTAATGAGAAAAAGCGCATAAAACAAGCAAAAACACGGGCGTTTTCAAGCGTTTCCAATTCAAACCAAGCTGTAATATGCCAAAAGAAAGGCTCCTGTACTTTTTCCAGCGACAGGATGGGATTTTTGGGGGGGCAGATTTGTAGAGCGTTTTTTAGGGAAGAAAAAGCGCTACAAAATGCTCAGTGTGAACCAGGACTTAGTATGGTGTGCGAGGATGAGAACCTCAGTCAGGTTTTATTGTTATGTGCCAATTAGCGAGATATCACCTCAGAGGGATTGCAAGTAATGGGAAATATGTTAAATGTGGATTAAGGCAGCAAAATAACTTCCTGTCTGGGTAACACCTTCTTCCTATCATCATGACAGGAAGTGAAGGAACATTTTCTAAATGGGGCACAAACAATTAAAATCTGACAGATTCTAAAGCTTCTCATCTATATAATGGTTCCTGCACACGGACACTCATATCCATACAACATAACTATTGGCATATTTCCCCTGCCTCCCAGGGAGCCACAGGTGCTGTGCACAGCTCTTCATATATGTCAATGGCTGTCGGTGGGTATTCACTGGAACATCTGTGCATGTTCACAAATATACACAAACAGTCTGCATCCAGAGTTGGACGCCTGTGGGCATGAGGGGGTTTGAGAAAATTGGTGTATACCTAGGGTTGCCACCTGTCCGGGATTCACCCGGACAGTTCGGGTTTTGAATGCCGTGTCCGGGTTTCATCGCATCAGAAACCCGGACACATGATGTCAGGCAGACGGGGACAACCAAAATTAAGATAGGGGCTACTGGCCACCCACTGAAAACAGTTTCAACTGTGATATTTACATATGAATGGGCGGCGTTATGTACATATGAATAAGCTACGACTTATTCTCCCCAAAAATGTCCGCGCGTCGCTAGAGTGTTCGGGTTTGGCTTGAAGAAAAGGTGGCAACCCTATGTATACCCGACTATAGCCATTGACTTAAATGGAAGGTGTTACACAGCACCAGTAGCTTCCAGATGGGGGTATTTATGTTGTGCGGGAACCCATGTGCTAGAGCCCTAAGAGACTTGTTTGACTGGACAACCTGGCCACACAAAATCCTTTTTAGCACTGACCTTGCCTGTGTAGTAAAGAGCCACGCAGAATTGTACTCTAAGGGACTGATTTATAATACTTCTGCATAGCTGGGCGAATGCTGTTCACATGACACTACCGCCATTAGATTGCGCTGAGGAGCACAGGGATTTATAAATCTTCCATTTCTAAATCAGCTTCTTAAGGTGCCCATACACCTTACGATTATCGGATGAAACGTTTCGTCCGATGATCGCATAGTCGTACGATTTTCGTACGGCAGCCCCATCCTGCCCCGATGATCGCAAGATTAAAGGAGAACTATGACATGAGTGATTTCCACTCACCTCATAGTTCTAAGCCGACCTGTGACAATGAGACTGTCACAGGTCGGCTCAGTAGATCGGGAGGTGAGGGAAAACATACCGGGTTCCCTCACCTCTCGATCCTGTCACGGCTCTCTGCCGTGACAGGGGGAGGGGCTGGATTCCCCTCTCCCCGCTCCGATCTGCCAGCGCTGACTGGCGGAACGGACGGGGGAGGGGGCGGGTACAGCTGGCTCTGCCTCTAGGTAGGCAGAGCCAGCTGTCACTCACGCAGCTGGGCGGATCCCGTCATCTAAGTCGGGATCCGCTCCAGGTGCGGCGTCTCAGTATACCGCGAGCTGTAGCTCGCGGTATACTGAGCTTAGGGTAACGGGAGGACGCTAGTTTGTGTCCTCCCGTTACCCTAAGGAGAACTATGGGGAAAAACACTGACCCCATAGTTCTCCTTTAATTTAGCCGTAATTAACGAAAAGCACTTGGACGAAATGCGGTAATTGATTTGTCGTATTTTCGTTCGCGCATGCGCAGTGTAGATCGTACGACTTTTGACAGACGGAAACGCCAGAAACCTTACGACAATCATACGATCGAGCAAAGTTTTCAAACATGCTTGACTGTCAAAAGTCGTACGATTGTACAGTAATGTCGGTTCGGGCACTCTATTCACACGTACGATTGTCGTTCGAAAATTCGATCGCATACGATTATCGTAAGGTGTATGGGCACCTTAAGTGTCTCCAGCCTCTGCAGACAGGCACATTCAACTCTATGAAGACTCACTGAGCAAACATGGCCAGCACTGAGATAATTTTGAATATGGAGGGTATAAACAACAGAGGTCTACAGCTGTACTGCTATGGAGGGAGGGGGGTTAGTCTCTAACTTTACGCTCAATGGCCAACAATAAAGGCAGCTTAACCTTAAAGCAAACCTTTCCTTTGCCAAAGTTTACTGAAACTGAATTCAATAATGAAGTATTCATCTCATAAACAACTCTCAGATTCATAACTGGTGATCAAATCTCTGCACCAATCTGTCCGCAGAGACCCAGTTATTCCCTTATTGAGTGCCGCCATTTTGCCCCTTGCAGAGTATAGAGAAGGTGAAGCCAGGTTGACAACCCATAAGCCATATATCTATGCCCTTTCTGTGACAGTCACTGATCTCTACAGGGCAAAAGGCATATCAGCAGCCAGGGGGAGTTATTAGAGATGGAAATAAAAGCTTAACTGTTGACTTTTGAAAGGTCAACATTTGCATATCAAAAACAACCCTGTTTAGGCTGTAAGTTCTGAGGAAAGGAGGAGTGTTTCTGAAATAGTTAATGGAGTTGATAAAGGCATCACTATGTTTACATATGTTCATTTTAAAGGCTTACTCACACAGCCACAGAAAGCCGTGCATACGTGTATTTATACACCCGGGAGTCACAGGGTGTTTTCCCGTGCAGCCACGGCCAGCAGCCTGTCCAAAATCAATGACAGGCTGACAGACACAGTGACTGTAGGTATCTTTCTGCACATCCGACGGTCTACATCCATACAGGAAAGGATGCACGGCCCTTGATGCAGTCTGTCTGCGTCCAGGGGCGTGCATATGTCCCTGTATAAATGTAAATGGTCAGTTGTGCGAGAAGATTCGTGCAGTCGCTGCATCTGTCAATTTTATTTATTTATATTACTTTCATAGGCAGCTGGCCGCGGCTGCACGGAACACCTATGACTCCCAGGTGCATGAACACACAGACACACATGTACGGCCCGCTGTAGCCATGTGAATGCACCCTAACTGTAAAAATATGTCATGAGGTAACCATACCACTAAGGTAATATAGGTCTACAGGAGTATCTCAGCAAGTGTTATTTCTTATTGTAGTAGTGCATTTATGTAAAATGTAAATGTGCCAGTCGCCTACATGTCCCTCCAGGTTCAATGCTGTACCTAAGACCCCTACAAATCCCAAGAATTTGCCAGTAATCCACTCCCAGGGTACTTTATGCCCAGCTCCTGAAAAAAACACAGTGCTGGAGTCCCAGGCTGCATACCTTGGTATATACAGCCTAGGCCTGCCCCATTCTAATTAAAACTTGTCAGTACATAGTAATCGCTTTATGGCTTTGAAATGGTTTTAGGTATCTGTAAGTATCTTGGGATGCTCGAATGTGCAAACCTTAACTTTTACGGAGCAGGTCGAGCACTCCCACATCCCCCCCCCCCCCTTACTGGATCTTCAAAGTAATGGGCTGCCTCAATAACTGCAAAGGAAATGCTGGATGAAGCAGACTAGCACTAGACTTCCTCTGCAAAATTGGGCTGTTGTTGGACTTTTGCAAATACCTGGTGCCTCCTGGAATAGGGGAGCATTTGACCTCCTCCCATGATGTACTGCTCGAGCCTGTGTGGACAATCATTAAGCCCAAACACTGTCATGTGAGGAGAACGGTGTCATCCACTTTTTGTAAGCTCCAAAGCCATCTGACACAGAGCTTACAAGGACTAACAGAGAATGGGGAAGCTCTAAAAAGCGGAGTATAAGCGGGTCGGGGTAGGCTAGCAAGAGACTGCCACTTTGCCATGAATAAAAGATACTTGTTAGAAAACAATTCATTCACTGTCTAACAATAAGGGGGAGTTTAGACAAACTCTAAGCCAGTTCCAAAAGGCCCTATTGTGAAACAATCCAGGGCTTAAAAAGTATAGACATGTCTCGGGCGGAGCAGTCACAAACGGAAAAGAGAGCCTGAACTGAACACCCGTGACGCGTTTCGCCCCTCCCACACACGGGGCTTCCTCAGACAGGTGTTGCTCAAATTAAATCAAATTAAATTGAGCAACACCTGTCTGCCACATGGAAGAGTTTGTCTAAACTCTTCCATGTGGAATTCATGGTTAACAAATAAGAAATAACAGCCAAATTTCACCAACCAGACCATCCGATAGATACCAGAATGTTGCGCAATAATATTACTACCAGAAGCAACAGTTTCTAAATATATATTCAAAACTACCTCTTTAGGTGATGAAATGGGGTTTGTACGAGTGCTTTTCCTTTTAACAGGAAATCCCCTTAATATATATCTTATAACTGATTTAAGGCTCACCTTGGCAGGTTTCTTGGGCCAAGACACCACAGGTACTCCAGAAATGGCCAGATTTGGGTCATCATCTGCGTGTTCCTTGAGTACAGTCTGTTCAATGGAAAGTTTTGTTAGCACCCAGGATCATAGTACACATATGCATCACTGTACATCCTTCATATTACAAAGCAGACAGGCCTAACATCTATTACAGTAGTCCCCATAGTGTAAATGACAATGTACATAAAAATGGCAGTACCCAAAAGGCAGAACAACGGCAAGGCCGGTTCACTGTAAATTAAGTGCTTTGTGTAGTGCTGGAGAACACTGTCTCTGGAAGTTGTAAGTAATCTTTATTGCTGCAGCTATTACTCCTGTACTTTTTACTCCTGTATTCTAATTGAAGTAATAAATGTTAGATTCTTTTTTATGACTTGTCTGTCCATTTTCAATGCGAGTGTGGAGGCTGGGCCTATTCCAGCCTTACCTTCAGTCTTGCACAGTTTTAAATGTTCCTCTCCTGTATTAAACATGCTGAGTCTGGTTTCACTGCACAATGTGAGCTTCTCACAGTGTACATTTGAGGTGCAGCATATCAGATAGGGTCAGCCTAATTATCTGACTGTAGAATATTGTATGTTAGCTATCACAATCATACAGCCTCAGCATCACATATGGTCATTACCTAGGACAGTCTGCATGCAAATGCAGCCTGCCTAGGAACTCCCACTCTCCCAGACAGACATCCACTCATCAAGGCATTGTGATATTTGCATAACACCTCCCAAGAGCCAGGCCACTGATTGCTTCACGAATGAGGGCTCTGGAGAGGAGTACCAAGGGAGGGTGCTGTTATGTTTTAGCAAGCTATATACAGCTTTTCCGCTCCTACCTGGATCTGCCTCCTTTGCATAGAGATGCACAGTGACCCATTGATGACATCCCTGGGTCTAGAATAACGTATGTAATTAAAACAAAAAGGTTTCATTTAAACATTTCATTAGCATGGTAATGAGGGGGAAAGGAGAGCAAAGGAGGGGCAAAATATAGGCAGATTAAGAGTCAGCTTTCAGATTGGGCAAGAAGGACTATTACTGCCTATTTCAGACTTCATTCACACATGAGCAGTTTTCTGAATATGCGCAGAACTGCGCTAAACATTAATAAAAATGCATTGCAATGTGCATTGTTCAGATGCGTGATTTTAAGGGGCGGGTTCCGCACGCTCCGGCTATAGTAATAGCTGCAAACATGCGGAATCCGCGCGTATGTTAACGTTTGCGCGGTTTAGTTCTTTCTGCGCCGTTTTCTGTGCAAAAAAACGAGCGGTAAAAGCTACTGCTATGTGAGAATCGAGCATCAGTGTTCATCTGCCAGGAGTAAAAAATAACAATAGAGATTTGACCAGAACTAAACAACTAAACAAATTACTTCTCACCTGCTTTTTCTTAAAAACATTGAAGACAATCCAGTAATGTGGGAGCAGGGATACAAGAAACTGCAACCATGACTGAGCTCTAGATCTAAGAGGGTCCAAAACCTCTTTGGTAATCTCCACATAAGCACTTCTTTTTGATGCAAAGTGTACTAAGCAGAGAGGTGCTGGGTCACATTGTTCACAGCAGGACTCTCAGTTACACTTTGGTCATGTGACATCCCTGATCTCAAGACTGAGCAAGGCATGCATGGGGAAGCATGTCACGGCAGGAGTGTCCCTGCATGTAGATCATGTGGCCTTCTTTTGGTGCACTTTGCATTATTATAACATGTTTATATAACAGGCACCAAGGTAGATCCCAGTAAGCCTGCTCCAAAAGTTGCACTAGGGCCCTTGCATCTGTAGTTCTGACACTAACACTTATTCGCTGAACATATACTATACAATAAAAAAAATGCCTGTCTGTATATGATCCACTTCCGGTGGCTATAAGAAGCTATGGTGTCCCCAAGATATTATAAGCCAGAAAAGCATCCTCATTGTGCCTCTCTGATTCAGGTTTGCTTGGTTGCTAATAACATGACTTCTGGGTTAAGCCCCATCCACCTGTACACTGTCCAGTAAAGGTGCTGTCAGAGCCCATTAAATGGCTCCAAATGTACAAAAGCAAGGAAACTGGTCAGAGCTTAGCCTAGGAATTAAGCCTTTAGAAACAAAATAAAACTAAATCAGTGAGGCACATAAAAGGGTGTTCTAGCTAGTAAAGGCAACATTTAATAGATTGTTATTCTCTGGCAGGACTCTTTTTAAATGTTTAAAATGGCTGAAGGGTTCGCATTAAAGTTTGGATGGCATAGGTCTGGTTTTAGTCCCCCCGCTGCATTTGCAGTGTTGTTCATGAAGCCAGAGGGAATCTTCTCTGTTTCTGGTTCCTCCATCAAGAGTGGATCCTACACATACAGCATCCCTATGGTGAATCCACTGCAGTGGTTGATGACCCAGTAATTCAGAAAATCTGCTTTAGCATCTCCATATTCTCCATACAATATACGAGAATCTACTCATGAGGGTGGGATCAAGACCTTAAGCTCATTTTGGCTTTCATGGTGGGACCAGTTAGCCAGGAAATCTACCCAAGTAGTAGTTTTTTGTGGCTTTAGTCCTCTTTAGGGTCACAGGAGTACTTTAACTAATGTACTCCTATGTCCTTAAAGGTGCCCATACACCTTACGATTATCGGACGAAACTTTTCGTCCGATGATCGAACCGTTGTACGATTTTCGTACGACGGCCCCATCCTGCCCCGATTATCACAAGGTTCAATCAGCGGTAGTTAGAAAAAAACACCTGGACGACTTGCGGTAATTGACCGCAATTATTTTCGTTTGCGCATGCGCAGTGTTAATCGTACGACTTTTGATGGACGGAAACGCCACCAACCATGCGAACATCGTACGATCAACCAAAGTTTTCAAACATGCTTGACCGTCAAAAGTCGTACGATTGTACAGTACTATCGGTCGGGCACTCTATTCACACGTTACGATTGTCGTACGAAAAGTCGATCCCATACGATTATCGTACGATAATCGTAAGGTGTATGGGCACCTTAAGTCAGCATCTAGCGGGCTAATTCCCACCATTTGCCGAAAATGCAGAGCCACACTGCAGTCGGAAAGACCCAAACAATATTGTTGGGATCCACCCCGTTACCCCGGTAATAGTCAGAATCAGACAGAGGCCCCCACCCCCTTCCCGGTCTGTCCCCCCAATGAGTGCTAGAGGAACAAAGAGAGGGGGATCTCTGAGGGGAGCGGTGATTGACAGTTACCGCTCTCTGCAGGGAGAAGACCATGAGCTGAGCGACCAGCGGTTTGTGATTGCTCAGCTCTCAATCTATATAGCTGGGGTGAGACACCTGCAGTGTCCCACACCGGCTCGAAGTACATTTTACTTCTCCTTTAAAAGAGCACATTGTTTGCATAACTGTGAACACTGCAAAGTTATACCGCTTTATATTAGCTTTCTGTTCAGTTATGCAACAATGCAGGTGCTAGCTACACCATGCTTAAAATGCAAAACATAGTAATGTAATAGTAAGTTTGCAGCTAGACCTCCCCTAGTATAGAAACTCTGAAAAGACATCAAAGATTTTCTAGCCCACATTTCACACAGTGCTGTGTTCTGGCAGCAGACTACTGCCCTAAAACCATTGATTGAGCCTGAGAAAAAAAGATTTGAACCAGACAAAATACAATGGTGAACAATTAAACATTACCTTAGATTCCATTAATGGAAATAATCTCAAGAAAGACACCAGTATGTTTTTACTGGATTTAGGGCAATGAAACCACACATGTAGTTTTACTTATCAGTACATCGCTCTATAGCCGGCGGATCGCTTGTATGTTAACAGGCATCGCTGCCTGTTTTCAAATAACGGGCATTTCCCGCTCGCGAGCGCCCAGCGGTGCGCGCGAGGGGGCGTGGCTGAGCGGACGTCTAAAGAACTTTAAGAATGTAACTTAGCACTTTTATGGTATGTTTCTTTTATATTTGGAAAAGTAGACCTAAATTTGTGTGTGACTGTAGGAGTATGGTTGTTATACACATTCATACAAATATTTCGCAGGGCCGGGAATCCCTAATGCGGGGCTGTAGGAATACATGGTCTATCGCCTATCGCCATAACAGAAACACTGTAGATCCAGCAATTACTTCCTTCACAACACTGATAACCGTCTTTAAGGTCATTTAAATAATTCTGCATAATTTTGCATGGAGGACCACAGGTAAACCTTCTGCCTGTAACTAAGAAAAAACATTTTCAACTTTTTAAGCTACTTCCATTCAAAGTCTAAGGGTGTCTAAACACATGGGAACATTTGCCCAATCTGACAGGCAAATGCTAAGCGTCACCCAGCAAACATGCTCTGCCCTAACCTTCTTGGAGGTGGGCAAGTTAGTTGGCCAAGTTGTGTTTTCCTGGTTGGTTGCTATTTTCCATCGGAGATGGACATTTGTCAAGTAGAGATGTCCAGATACCAGTTCAGATACCAGTGCCGATACTTGGCATTTTCAAGAGAACTACCAGGGTTGCAGCTGGGACCTGGCTCTGGCGCTCCACCACTGTCCTGAAATCATTAGTCTGTATTGTTTTAGAAAAACTGTTACATGACAAGAAACAAAAATGTATTAGTACTTGTATCTGTGAGTACTTGGACAAGAATCCGCACTTGTACTTGCAAAACTGGTATCGGTGCATCACTTATATAAATTTCTTTTTTTTTTAAATTGCATTAAAATTGGGATGTACAAATCCCAGGAGCTCCGTATGTTCCTTTAAAATTGACAGGTGCCTCCTAACTTTTGAATTTTTCTCTAGCCTAGTCCTGGTGGTGGAAAAGTATCTGTACATGTACTTGTACCGAGTACGGTACTTGGTATCTGAACATCCCTATTGTCAAGAGGGTCTGCAGAGTGCACCCCATCCTACCCTCCTCCATAGGCTATACTTGATGGAAACAAGCTTGTACAATGGTCTTTTATATTTAATGTCAACAGACACCTTGACAGCTTTTTCATACTAGTATTTTGGATATGTAAAGGTAAACAACAGTCATAATTAGCAAACTGAGAAAATACTGCAGCTCTGTTGAAGAAGCACAGTGGC